CCCCCCCCCGACTGGTGCAACTCACCTTTTCCCCCCCCCCTCTTCCTCCTCCGGCTCCGTAGACCCACGCCAGCCATGTCCGACGAGCTTACCGAGGCCTTCACCAATGTCACGCTCAACTCCGAGCCCGCGGCCACCGAGCCGCCCAGCGCCGCCGGTGCCACCGACGCCGACAAGGTACCCCGCGCGCGTCTGCCTCCCTCGCCCGCTCCTTTTTTGTTGCCGCCGCACGCCACTCCACCGGCAAAAAAAAGCACCTCAGGCCAAGGAGGAAACCCCACATGCCACTGACACCGCCCCCCCCCCCCCCCTGCGCCCCCCTCGCCTCCCGGGGCCAACCTGCCCGCGAAGCCTTCCGAGACCACCACCATGGCCTTCCTCGGCCAAAAGGAGCGCCGCCGCTCCAGCGCCGTCAAGATGTTCCTCGGGGACTACCTGAGCCTTGCCTCGAACGCCAACATCATCAAGGTCCTGGCCCGCCACCGTACGTCAGACTCCCCCGCCGCGGTCTCCCCCTGCCCCCGGACTTGCCACTCATCGCCGCATGCCCCCCCCCCCTCTTCCCCGCCCTTCGAATGGCCCGACGCGCACACACGCGCACACACACACACACACACACAGGCGACCAGAAGATCACCTTCTCCGACATCGTGGTCAAGATCAACAAGCGCAACAAGATGCAGGAGCGCATCCTCCTCCTGACCGAGGAGGCCATCTACAACATCGACCCCACCAACCACAAGGTCAAGCGCCGGATCGCCCTGCGCGAGCTCGGCGGCGTCCGGCTGTCCTGCCTGCCGGACAACTTCTTCTGCCTCCATGTTCCCAGCGAGTACGACTACCTCATGGTCTCCAACCGCAAGACCGAGATCGTCACCAAGCTCATGGAGAGCTATCGCGAGTTGACCGGCGGCGACACCCTGCCGGTGGCCTTCGCCAACACCTTCGACTACCGCATCGACACCGATGTCTATCGCGACATCACCTTCTCCGAGGTGGAGGGCGGCGTCAGCACGCAGATCTTCGCCAAGAAGAAGGAGCCCAAGAACTCCCGCCGGTAAAAAAAAAAGGGACCGGGCCGCTCCTCGGGCACTGGCCGAGCCTC